CTCCTCTGAGCAAACGAAGATGGAGCACGCAGGGGAGGAGAAAGAGATTAATGGGTAGGAATAGCTGGGAAAATTGGGCGTGAAAAATGTGAAAGGTGAGGAAAGTGGGTAGGGTGCTGTTGATGTCTCAAAGTTATCTTCCGGGAGGGCAGGAGGCTGTGAGCGATCAAAATGAGAGAAAAAGCCTGGAGAGCATATTGACTTTTTAATTTATATTGTTATTTTTCTCTAGATAGTAGGGTACCTATTGATATAGTGTGTTAGATAACCTTTTGTCCTCATAAAGTTGAGTTATTGTGTATGTTTTTCCTCACTCAGAAGAGTTTTTATGCAATATTTCCCAATTGTACAACTTGAGAAAAGCAAAAACATTTCTGGTTACACCTGTGTTTTAAAATGGTTCTCTCTCTGAGAAATCTTTCAATGGCTACTTGAATCAAGTCACATTAGAAAAAAAACACTTTCTCTTGTGGGATTCCACCAGGATGTATTGTTAGATTTTTTTATTATTATTATTTCTGCAACTATACTACATCGCAGTGTACTCCTCTGTATCATCATGTCATAAATCAGCTCAAATTCACTTTAACTAAAAGTTTATTCAGATCATTTTTTTAATCATTGTAAGGTTCTGTTTACATCATGTTTCCAAAAACATGTTCCATTGTGTATTCAAAGAAATAAAGACAGTGAGCAAGCCAGGCCTGTAGGACGCAGTGAAATTTGGTGGATTTTCTGACCCATTTACACCATTGGGATAAATGGTGTAAATGCATGTTAAAGAAGATTTTGCTTTAACATTTTAAGTAACCCGAAGAGCACAGCAGCAAAGACAGAACACAGAGTTAGACCAAGCGCAATATGATGTGACTGACGTCATGGTTAAAATGCTTTCGGTTTGCCTTTACATGAACACGATCATTTCGCAATTCTAAAAGGTTTCACAGTGCTGCCCGTAGTCAAACCTTTACGTGTTTGACCTGCGAGTTAACGTACGAATAAGAGGCCAAAACGCAACAGAACCTCTGTGCTGTACTGTCCTGATGTTGTCATGTAAACAGGATCTAAGAATGGTGGCTGTCAAAAGTTTTTTTTTCATGATTAATCATGTTTTTTAGTTAAACTTACCTGGACTACTGTAAGAGTTTGTTTTTTTTCAAACCAGTTTTAACAAGCTAATTTTAGACTGAGTTTTATAGATTGTAGACATAGCTCTTCCTCGTGGCTTTTTACATCTTGAGGCCATGATGCTGATGGTTCCACACGCCCCCTGTTAAACCTGCATGGATCAATCTTTCAAGTGAAGCGCACATCCTCCTTCTCTGTTTTCTCCATAGGCGTTATTGACTCTTTGAAAAGCAGCTGAAGCCACTTTTATGTACACCGGTCTCCACTCTGAATCTACAACCATAGTATATATGTGTATCACACTGTATTTATGTTGTTTTTTCCCCCCTTTCTTTACCTATTTTATTAATTTATGTTATTTTCATGATTACATTCTGTTGCTTTCTTCTTTTTACTCATCTACTATTTATATTTTGTGATGTGTTGGAAAAAAATTTAGTAACCTTTCTTTCGACAGAGTTTGTACAAACATTTGTTTTTCTACTCTCATCACCCTTCAGCAGCTGTGCTTAGACAACAACACTGAGAAGCACCACTAAAGTCATTTCCTCAATCTAATTTTCATACTTAGACACATACACACGCACGTCTTTCTATCTTCACAAGGACTTTGGACTGACTTCCATTCATTTTTCAATCATTTCTGTAGCCTAACCCAAATCCTTCTTCTTATGGGGCCTTGGTTTGGGGCCCAAAAGGAGCAGCTGGTTCCCACAACGTAGTATGTGTTAGGAAAATGGTAAGAAGCGGGATCAGTAACTTCCTGTCGCATTCTTTTGTTTCCTTTAAAGCAGAGAAATCTATGGTAGCTAAGGGAGCCTGATTTGCACATAATTAAGTTATAAATAAAAAAAAAAAAACTGATATCAGGGTGTAAAACACAATGTGTACACAATCTGTATTAAATTGACGTAAATATCAGAGTAGTTTTATTTCATTTTTCTTTGTTTATTTTCTAATTTATCCTTTTTTTATATAAACTGTTAATCAATCATCTGTCTTCTGTAAGTTGTTATTTTATTGAATTCGGTGAGTCACAGATGCTTTTCAATACCTCCTGATTAAAAATGCATAATAACATCTAACAGCCTGTCAAAAGGCCTGCTTGTCATTGTGCTGAAAAGATGTAGGATTAAATGGCTGTCTTTTACAGCACTGTGACAAGACATCAAGAAATAAAAGCTGGACTGATTGGAAAATTGATATAGCCGTCTCTTTATATTGTTCGCTCAAGAGCCAAATACGGCAAAAAAACAAAAAAACAAAAAAACTTACTGATAATTAAGGTGCCAGATGTGATTGGCTCTTTTGTCAATAAAAAAAACAGTTGGCAGACTCACTAAGAGTCTGAGTGACAAGTGAATAAAAAGAAGGAGGAGGAGCGAGCGGGCACACTGATTACAGACGTGCATATTCGAAATGGCTTACAAAAGTTTTATTCTAATGCTGTCTATTCTAATGTGTCAGTTTATGACACATATGCTGTTATATTCAAAAATGCAAACTCAAAAAAAAAAAAAAAAAAATTGCCCTTTCTCCAAGCTCTGGGAAACCATTGAATANTGAATTAAGAGAGTGAAGCGTGCTGTTGTGAGAGAAGGTCAAAAAGTCCATACCCATAAACAAAGACAGAAACACAGAGGTTGCCCACCACGTGTGGCATTGATTTTTTTTTTTTTCTGTTTGGAACCACAAGAAACAATCAGCACACAATTTACGTTTAGCTTCAACACCTGTTTCAACAGAAAGACAGAAAGTAAACACTCCTATAAAAAAGAGAAAGAACACCGAGAAGCACTACAAGCTGTCAAAACAGACACTGTTTTAATTTATCTGCTTTAAAAATGTATTATTCATTGTTTCAATATTAGTCTGGATTTTCTCTTCAATGTTAACCTAGGCTGGGTGAGAACACTTTCTCCTCTCCACGTCTGCATTTATATTATAGCAGGAGTAGCTTGACGTGAATGTTTACAGTGTCTTGCAAAAGCGTTCTACTTATTTAACCTTTTCATACATTGTCATATTAAAAACCGAAAAGCAAGTATTTGCAGGAAAGTGCCCTGGTCAGATGAGACAAAGTGTCATCTTCGCAGCCTCTTTGCAGGATGCTTTCTGCAGTGGGAAAACTAACGCTGCACATCACCCTGGATACGCCACATCTATGGTGAAACGTGGCGGCATCATGTTGCATTTCTTTATCAGTGACAACGAAGTTGGTTAAAATTGATGGGAATATACATAAAAGTAAACCGGTTAATTTTAAAAAGAAGATATGCTGAAGTGCACTACCAATGCAGGAACTTTTGAGGAACCACTGCAGTTTTCTGATATTATTATTCTCTCTGCATTTCCAAGGCAGGAACCAGAACCAAATCAGACAAAAGTGAGCAAAAATGTAGCAATGCAGAGCTTGCTTTGAAATACCTTGATAAAATCTGCCTATCTTGGTACAAAATATTCAGTTAAAGGAACCAGAAGCTTTCAGTTTCAGCGTCTTCACTGACAGAGAGATTAACATTCTCATCAAAGACTTTAAAGAGATTTTTTTTACTGATAAATATATAAATGTTTATTTCAGTGTTTATGCTCTGAGACACAGTTAGACCAACTGTCCAGGAACATTCATTATTTATCCATTTTAAGCTTAAGAGGAGAAGACCTGCTGGTGATACATGTGTTCATGGTTGCTGTTAATGAGAAACAAATATTGATGACTAATTATTAAATATCTGTGGATTATTTCAAGTTTCCTCTGATTTAGAACTGATTTTAATTCAGCTATACAGATTGGATGCAAGTGAAACTGTTATAGAGGATTTCCTTAGATGGCCAACTCTGATGCTAATCACAGCTCTCCTTTTTTCCTTTCTTTACGGGGGATGGGATCAGCACACTTGATTTAAAATCCATTTTACCATCACATTTTCAAACACTTTGGAGTCATAGTCCATGCCTTTTAAACCACAATTGGTACCAAACAATCCAATATTAAGTCTGGTTTCACTGTTCTTTAGTGACTCTGCCTTTGCAGTGGAAGGAAGTTTGTGTCTCCAGACTGCAGTAGCACCCAAGACAGGAGGAAGGAGCTGCTCACAGATTATGATCTAAATAAACTGCACAGGTTTTGATCCCAGGAAAAACATACACACACAAAAAAAATAAGAATATTTTTTTTTTTTTTGTGGAAATTTAAGCTTTGTTAATGTTTTGAAGCCAGTGGTCAAAATTTGCAAAAGACTTAAGAACAAATCTGAAGTTGAACTTCTAGCAGCACAATGACACTAAGCGTGCTCATTGCGCTCCCTCTCACCATTATGTTGTTGTGAATGAAGCCCTTGCGGTAGCGGGCGGGCTTTAGGTGAGGGTACTCCTCGGTGCTTGTGACCCGTATGTTCCACACTCGCCTCCACGCCTCGTACAGCTGCAGATGCACCGGGTAAACGCCGGAGTGATGAGGGGCCACGGCGTAGCCCATGTCAACTGGGATGTTGTGCTCCTGAGGAGGACAGGGGGGCACATGCAAAGAGTCACACATGAAGGTTTATATATAAACTCAGAAAATTATGGCACACTTACAGCTCTTTGTGTCATATAAACACACAAGGCCCAACGGTGTGACCTTGTAGGGGAAAGCACATGGTTCGTGCTGAGTTGAGTTTTGTTATTGTATTGGCCTTCGGGTTGGAAATTAGAAAAAAAAATACAGTTTGCGTGAGAATGTGCGTGTGTGTGTGTGTGTGTGTGTGTGTGTGTGTGTGTGTGTGCGTGTGTGTGTGAGCTTGCAGGCTGCATTCGGAAGACTGATAGTGTTGTCCTTTGCTCTGACATACACCTACGCACATTGTCAGGGCTAAGCATCAGCGGTTCAGAGGAAATGTGAATGCGTGTGTGCGCATGTGTACAAAAGAGTATAGTAATCACACTTCATGTTTAGGCTCACCTTCAGTAGGATGAATGAACCCTTTAAGCAAACCAGCATGTGTGAGAACGCAGCTCAATACGGTCATAAAAATAACCCTTACTAAAACATGTGCTCTTATCAGACAAAGCAAAGTAAAGCAGGTATGAAGAATTACGGGACACATCTATCTTCAAGTTTTAAAACTTTTTATATACAACTGAAAAAGCCTTCTCCAACAATTTATCACAAACAGTTTTGCTTTTCTATCAGCCTAAAAATGAATATAGTGGAATCTACTTTTGTGCCTGTTATTGACTATGAAGACTTACACTGTATGCTTATGTATGCGTTTTGTCTTTGCATGTTGTAAAGTTTAAATCACAAGGCTGTGAGGTTTGAGCTAAATATGTCATCAGTGTGTCTGCTCTAAATTAATAAAACTGGTCATATCACTACATCAATATATATCAATACATACATATCAATACATACAATATACATAGCAATAGACACATGATTAATATCAATATAATACATCTATACAATATTAAATGTATAGAATATTCACTGAATCAGCGAACGACAGAGGCAGAAGAAACACTTCAGCTGCTCAACCAGTCATGACCTGGTAATAAACGAGGTTGGTGGTTGATAAGCAAGTTGCTCAACCTGGTGAGAAACTTGTGTTTAAAAATAACCAGCAGCTCGAGTGAAAACTGTGGATAAAAGAGGAAACGTCACAACACCAGTTTGGCAGCATTTCAGATATTTAAAACAAAACAAAACAAAAAAAAAAAATCAATAACTATCAGTACTGATAATTATCGATTAGTTTTTTGGTTATGATATAAAACACCTATATCGTGATACGTTTTTCAGCAATATCGTCCAGCCTCGGTTAAGCTTTCCTTCTGTTATCGCAGGAAGCAAATTGCGACCATTAGGCAGTTTTGAAAAAGCGGATCCACTTTTCAGTGGATAAAAAAAAAAAAAAGATTTTTGCCTTTTTTTTAGCTCCTGGAAGTTGGAACGATCTTTAACCTGGCTCATATCTGCAAAATGTATCATCTTTGAATGAGTTTAAAGCCCAGATGAAAACCCTCCACTGTGCAAGTCATTTTGGTATCTTTTAATGCATTGTTTACTGCTCTGCTGTGTGAGCTCCGCAATTAAAGTGTGTTGCTGTTATCTTGGTCAGCTCTTTCTTGGAAAAGAGATCTGTTATCTCAGTCAAACTAAAGGAAATTAATTAATCTACTTACTGTACAGGTGAATCTTTTTCCCACTGCATGAGAATGTAACGGGACAAAATACCAGTTTTATAGAAAGTGCTGCAAATTAACTTAAGTATAGCTTCACTATTGAAATAAATCCAACACTTTGATAAAATAACCTATTAAAATGTAATTTGCACATTTTCATTTTTTCCCTGGCATGCAGTTATAAATCCTTTAAAGAGGCCGTAGCTGAGAAGTAATTGGGTTGCGGCACATTTAAAAGGTTCTAACCTCGGCCGTGTTCCGATAATGAGTATTTTTTTGCTGCAGACGTTGCATCTTACATCACAATAGATGTAAGACACAAGATGTAGAGTCTGTTATTTCTAAAGAAAATAATAATAAAAGTGACAAGACGCCAAAATAACTAAATCATGAGGGAAGGCATGATTAAGAGGACACATGGGAGAAAACAACCACAAGCCAAAAAAGCAGCAAGGAATGTTCCTGCTTTTGCATCCATCTCACCAGAGCAAACTCCTTGTTGAGGACCATCTGCTCCAACAGAGAGGACTCATTGTGGAAGAGGTGAGGCTGCATGTGGCTCCACATGTGGGGGAACCACCAGAACTCATCTACATACTTCAGTAGTAGATCATCTCCTTCATCCTCCTCCACTGTGCCTGCACGCATGAAACGCACACACACACACACACACATTCTCAAGGACAGAAGGACACAGAATGAAGCCTGCTCCAAAACAAGGAAGTTTGGGGAAATTCTAAACATTATAAATTCTTGCTAATTAAGTACAGAGTGTTACCAAACTTTGAGAATGCTGCTATAATAGATGCCATAAGACTAAATTACAGGAACAGGTCGGTCTTGAAAATGAGACCTAATTTCTCAGTGGGATTTTCCTGCATAGATAAAAGTAAAATAAAATAAAAAAAAATAATAATATCTAAGTTCACTTTCGTTCTAGTTCGTTCTGTACATTCTTGCTCTTGCTGCAGAACTATACATCTAAACAAAAACAAAAGTTCATTCTTTGTGTCACTACAGTAGTTACTGCACCACATTATGTCATGACCTCATAAGCATAATTACATAAATGCTACTTTGTAGCTCTATAACAAGGACAAATATACAATTAGTCTTTTATGAAATCGAAACAAAGGTGGATGACAAAGAAATAGCTAGAAAGTGGTGCTCTCTTTGTGAAATACAAGACATGAGCACATAGTTGTGTGCCGTATACTTCAATAAAAAACCTGGTTTTGTTTTACTGTGGTTTTATGCATAACTGAAAGGTGCATGATGGCAAATAAACAGTGCCTTTTATGTGTTCATACACATTTTTTTCCAAATAGGATGAAATGCATTATTGAAAGAAATTCGAAAGATCTTATGTTTGTCACGAGCCGCGAATTCGACAAAAAGCAAACAGGTGGAGGAAGGTGCTCTGCTCAGATGAGACCAAAAAAATTGCATCTTTTGGTCTACATGCAGAAAATGTTGCCTGCACAAACAGAAACCCACCTGTATGGTAAAACTTTCCAGAAAAGCCCAGATTAAAAGTAAAATTGGAGATGTAGGAACCCAGCTGCTTCTGGGTCTCCAGCAAAGCCTGCAGAGGGACGACATGACATTAAATTAGATCTGGATAAACAGATAGACAGACAGACAGATATTTAGAGATAGCGAGAACTGGAATGAGTAATGATGTTACACAAAAACCAATTCAAGTATTTTAAACAGTACAAAGTACATGACGGTGTATTCGGCTCTCTTCTCCCCTGCCAGCAGCAAAGATAAAACACGGTGTGATTTAGATGTTTTTGTCTCACTGTTGTATATTTAAGTGAACTCGGGTTCCTTCGAGGACTATCACGATGTGTTCTCATCAGCGCTTACCCTATGGCCCGACAACAGCGACTGTCAACGACAGGCTGTTGCGACATCTTTCTTTTAGTCAGGTCTGTTATACGCTGTCGTACGCCCACAACTCCTCCGGTGTTTCTTCCTCTCTGTCCTCAGTGCTCCTCCAGTTTCTGGTCTCAATACTTGCATCAGGATGTTCCTCACTTATTTAATGACTTCATTAGTTTGCTGGCCTTTAAACAAAGACTCCGTAATGAGTGTTAACTAAAGCGAGTTGTACACTGCGCTCGCACGCTCACGCACACATCCACACGACGACACTAATGCAAGTTAATGAAGGTCAGTGCATTAGTAGCCTCTGGAGGGTAGACTAATAACTACTCCACCCACCCATGCACACGCATACACTTACACACACACACACACATTCGTTTCCTTTTCATCATTTCCTCCATCCGTCCCCAACGCTACCAAGTGAAACCCTGAACCCTGCCGTCACCTCTGTGCCGCTGCCTTCCCCTCACTCCTCTTCTTCCTCATCTCTCTGAGAACCTGCTGTCTCCTCTCCGCTGCGCCTCCCCTCCCCAGCCCCACTCCAGTTCCCGCATTTGTCTTCCACACCTTCCACCCTCCTCTGAACCTCCATCTCTCCCTCGCTTGCTCCGTGAAAATGTCACATTCTCAGGAGACAGGGTTGTACTAATTTGAAAGGAAGGCTGAAGCAGCATGGAAGAAAGATCGCTCCCTCTCCCTCTATGACTCTATACCCTTGCTTGTTCTTTTGCACTCTACAACTTCGTCTTCTTGCTGTTGTGGCACCTCTCGCTGTTTGTTCCCACACACACACACACACACATACATATATATATTTATATATGTATAGGTGTGTGTTGTTTATAAATAAAGCCTGTACTTTTCCTTTCATAATTCAGTCATCTGGGTCTTTCTCCTATGCCACGAGCCGAACCCAAACTACAAATCTTTGTCATGCTGCTTTTAATCGATCCCCAGGAACCTTTCCTGATTTATGATACCTGAGCAGCTGGAGTCAGAGCAAAGAGCCGGTTCCAGGCACTCACAGTCTCTCCTTCTTCTCACCACCTCTCCTCTTGAGAGTGAGTCTTCCAAACTAACAAATACACAGACACATGCAGGGAGTGTCTTCATTAGCTTTAATCTAATGGTGGAAGATGGGCTGCACGGTGACAGATGTGCACAATCCCCTAATCTGATCCCCTGTCTCCTTCCCTAAGACATCCTCTATGTCTTGCGGACGTGCACTCACGGAGCCAAATGTGAGGCTACAAAGACTTAAGAATTAAATTAAGTTAGTAGCTAAGCACTTTGCATTGTAACTCAATATACGTTCCCCAGTGCGCTCGGTCAAAATGCATTATTAACGTGTGTTGGCATGTGCGAGAGTGAGTGGAGGGGTGTGACCAAGTGTGCAATATATTAGTTTAAACATCTCATTTGTATTCTGCCAACTAAGATCTCTAACAGAAAACAGCAAAGTCACACCATAGATATTTGTGTCTTCTTAGTGGGACACATAGCAGCTGCTTTAGCATGTTTTTAGCTTAAACTGTGACAATCTGTTACTCCCATATCTGACTTTTCAGCACAATGCTGCTGTTTATCTGGGTGGAGCACCGTCAATCTCAGCAAAAAAACTATTTGTAATCTCCTCTTTTTTTGCAGCAGCAGCAGCAGGTAAACTCGAAGGTGGGGTACTGCTTATCCAGTCAGGCAAATTTTCTTTGAATAGACATAGAGAAGATAATGTTGGCACTGAAAAAATGTAAGAGTTTAGAGTGTGACGATCTGTTCAAGCCACAATATTAGGTTCAAGAGAGCAATGAGATTTTGGCAATCTCTTTGCGAATTGTTTTTGTGAAATGTAAATGTGTTGGATTTATTTGTTTAGGGTCAGGGTTTACAAAAAAGGAGCACCGATTTTATGAATCCTGAACTAGATTTTGAAGTGTCTGTTGTAAAAGTACAATAATTCACTCCAGGTTTGAGTCGTCTTTAAATCGAAGGTTTTACTTTTTAGTGATTCCAAGGAAGTGCTTCTGAGAACATTAAAGATGTTCTCATTTTATTTTATTTTTTTACAAAAAATTGTTTTGACTTTTTTTTAAACACAGGTTGTTTTAAACAAGCTCTGATTTACCCAGTTTTTTGTTTTTTTTTAGATTTTGACCAAGTGAGGATACACTCCTATGTTATTAGATTTAATGTAGCACTGATAGGAAGCTCAAAGGTAAACACAAGTTTAGCATGGTCTGTTTCTGATGGTTACCCACTTGTTATCCTCAGAGGAACCTGTATCTCTGTCACAATTTCTTTCTTCTATTTTTCAACCAGACTGCTGCCACACAAAATGACTTCAACATGGTAGAGGCTTGGTGAGCTTTGTAATGGAGAGACTTAAGCCAGCCAGACATGCAGATTGTAAACAGGCTGCAAAAAATAAAAGGAGGATTTTACTGATTATAGAACCTCAAACTCAGGAGAAGTAAAGTACCGAAGATGAAGCAAGTTGCTAAGGCAGATAAGATCGGTGGATAAGGCCTCACATGTAAGTATCAGCTGATCAGCGTTTTCCTAAAATTAAGGAAATTGGCACCAATAAATCATCTGGTTGATAAATCGGTGCACCCCCAGTAATTTTACTCAAGGATGTCATACCATAAGAATCTGCTACTGAGATACGCAATGGCTTAAACTAGGTTTAGATGGGACATATTGGCTAAAAAATCTGTTTTCGACATTTGTTATTGCTTAAATTAAGACAAGGATTGAAAAATCTTAAGGAGCCTAAGGGGTAGTTTGGAGGGCAGATTTTTTAACCTCAGAAAAACTGAAAAAGCTTCCACTGGCAAAACATACTAAAAGAGATAACAGAGGAAAATAAGCCTGATCATTAAACAAGCACAATGTGTGCCGTTTCACCAACAGAGGCATCATTTTGCTATCAACTTTCATATCCACATGAAAGAGAGGAAAACCCTTCATATCTGCAAACGCACTTGGCAGTGGAACTTTCACAGGCAAGAACCTGCTCACAAATGTTTTGTCTAAACCAAGCTTCAACCCACAAATGATTATCAAACCATTTGAAAGCTGCATTTCAAAGAACTGGTTTCCAACTTCAAACAACTCAGGGATTTTTTTTTTTTTAAATGCGTAGACATCAATACACTTGTCAAACCTCAAGCTTATTTGCAAAAATAATCTTAGAAAACGGCGTAATAACTCCTGAGACGTCAACAACACCTTAATAATGAAAAACTGTAGCAAAGCCAGCTTATATAAAAACATCAACGTGTGGTGGGTTAATAATGACAGGTTGTCTTTCTGAGCAGCAATAGTTATGAAGGGATTCGCTCCGTGGGGACAGCAGAACTCTTTCTCCAGATGTCTCGGCTCCACTCAGTCAATTCTCTGTTCACCTCTGTACATGAACACACTCTTTTCCATCTGTTGAATTATCTCCCGGACCATCCTCTCTTGCAATAATCTATGCACCGCTTCACTACTCTGTACCAGCACTGTATTAAGAGTTTGTGGCACGAGATTCCATATTAAAATACCATAATATTTCTCAGCAAAGGGAATTGTGTCTATTGAAGTGCCATAACAGTGCAGTAAGTGGCTTTAACTTGCGAAGTAGACTAATCTTATCAAGCTTAGCATCTTGTGAATATGTTAAGATTTCTATTTAAAAGCAGAAAAGGAAAAAAATGTACACCTACTCATAACTACACATTGTTTAAATTTTTGCTTTTAGTCATTTAATATTGTACTACATTGGACTTATATTCGTATTACCAGTTGGCACTGTTACTGAAACTTAACTTACGAAAAATCTCTTACTAAAGCAAGTACAATTTTATCTCTATCTCTTATCTTAGCCTTTTCCCTCCATTCTGCATGTATTCCATCAATGCATTTTTTTTTCCCCCTCTGCTGCAGCTACGTTAGTGACAGAGCAATCATTATGATGTCTAGTTTGGCGCACACTGACGTTTTACATCAAATAATGTGTGGAGATGGACCACAAAAACTCAATTGGTGCACGGAATCGCGGTCACAACAACAATATCTGGTCTGAAAACTCAAAAGTTTAAAAATGAAGTCAGCGAGGACCTATTCAGAAAGGAAGTTGTATTTTCTACAATATGCAAAGCATGTCTACAGTTCATTCAGGATGTGGGAGAGAATGAGTGAGGTTTTCAGTAGGTAACAGGAAGAGTCAATGGTTGCTCTGTTTCATCTGTTTTTGGTTTCAACCTCCACTTTTGAATGCTGGGAATGATTGGAGCCTCTTGAAAATCTCAAAAGTGAAGCTAGCAACCATAATCACTAATATAACAGCGTAAGTCAGCTGTCACAGACAATTACTGTCTACACAGTAATATAGTACATTAAGTCTTCAGGTATCAACTTCATAAACAGGGTCCCTTTCCTTCAGGGGTGATTTGAAATTTGAATAAATCTTATCCCAGCTGCATGGATCTGCAAGATTTCCTTCTGACTTGTGTCTAAGGAAGTTGTGCCTTGTTTCAGAAAGCCAATCTCAGCCTGCTGAGTTTACTTCAAGCTCAAAGCTAGGAATTGTTTTAAAATAGCCCCTAAAAGCTACTTTAAAAGTAAGCAGGGAAGTATGGATACGCGTAACGTAGGACAGTTTACCATATGAGTGATCGTGACAGTGATGAAAGTAAACACACACCAGCATTAGCGGTTTCCCAAAACTGCGATTTCTGCGCCCAATCCTTCAGCCCCCACAGAAGGCTAATGTGAGAGGCAATGCTGTTTTTGTTTCAGCGCCGATGCAAGTGACAGCACGTCTGTTTGTGTGTACTTGTATGTGTGTGTGTGTGTGTGTGTGTGTGTGTGTGTAAGTGGAAGTGGTGCCAGATAGATGTTGGGGTTCAAACAGATGGGAGACAGGCATCTGGACAGCTGGCATTCACCGCCTTTCAAAAACCCCTTACGCCAACCACCTCTGCACCATATCCCCATTCTGTCATTCTCTACATCACGCTGTTTTCCTCTTTTCCTTTAATGGTCTTAAACCTTGCTAGGGGAATCTAAAATAGCAAATTAATAAAAAAAAATTATTTTGTTGCAAGTGGGATTTAATGCACCAGCAGATTTAGAAGCGAGGAGAGGAGGGGGGAGAAAACTAGACGTATTTGAAAAGCAAACGTAAATCAAAATTTTTGATTCATCTGCATGAATGTCTCATATCTGTGCGTGCATGTCTGTGTGTGTTATATTAACGCTAGACCTGCAAATTTAACTGGGTCAGGCATCTCTATTTGATGAGAGGAAAGAGCGCCTTTCCAGTTAATGCCAGTCTTCCCAGCACTCAGCCCCCTTTTTTTCCGTCTCTCCCAAAGTCCCTCGGGTGAGATACAACTCAGCAGAGCTTTTTTCATGTTTAAGCATTTCACAAATTCATCTATTAACTTGCATTTATGTATCCGAGGTACTTGTGGTCTCTTTGGTGTCGCTATCCTCCTGCTAAATTCTACTTGGCAGCCCCCTCAAGGATTTTAGCTTGAGTGATTGGTGCGACTGCAAAAAACCTGCCTCATTTTGTGGAGGAAAATTCATGGCACATAGCCACAGCCTCCAGAGTTTATTTAGAGTGGAAAACCATCCCTGGAAAAAAACAATAAAAAAAAAAACATTAATGAATCAAAATAACCAATTAGGATTTCTTTTGTGGACAAAAACATTACACAGAGTGTTTATGCTATGCCTTTTTCACTTTGTGTTTTTAAAACAAAAAACCTCCTCCACTTAAATTACATTTTTTTATTGTTACACAAAATTGAAGGGGACTTTGACACTAACACGAGAATGTGATTTGATTTAAACAATTCCAATTTATTTATATTATTATTATTATTATTATTTACTTTTTAATATATGTGTTTATCATTGTCAATATTTTAAAAAAAACTATTATTTAGATAATTATCCCAAAATACAACAGAAAAACCAATTGTCTATGTTTATTATGTATTTATTTCTCCTCTCCCTCCCTCCCAGTGTGATTCTTAAATATTTCATTGAATGTTTATGCTTTTCCTTCATTAACTATGAAATGGCATTTTGAAAAAAAAAAAAAAAAAACTAAACTGATACCAAGAGAGAAAAAAAAAAGCTTTGTGTGATTGACTTAATTAGTTCTAAAGATTAACTCCAAATTGAGCAGCAGCATAAATGACACAATGCCAAGCCAAAACACTTCAAAGAAATGAGAACTGAGCCCATTCTGGGTAACACCATTCTTGTGAGAGATTTTTTTTTTTTTTCAGTAAGAAGTATGACAAAAAATTATCACCCAGGGATTTAAAAAAAATAAAAAATAAGGCCAAACACTGATATGTGTGAATTTCAAGCATCTATTCATTCATTGTTTGTGGTGCAGTCAAATGGAAAATAACTGAACCCCTTGGCAGTGTAAGATCTGAGACGTTGAAACAAGTTCTTTGTTCAGTGCTCCAGGCAAAACAGAATTCCTGTGATATAACACTATGTAAAGTTAATAAACACCCGGGCACCTAAATTAGAATAAGTAAAATAACAAACAGTGGCATAAATTGTCTCCTTTTCCTTTCTCGAGGCTGACAAAACACAAAGTTCTAATACCTGCAATAGGTAAAGTGCAGGTAAAGTTTTACTCAAAGAAGAATCGGAAAAGTGTGAAATGCATCTGTACTCAGAACTGTTTAGATTAGCGGTTCTCAACGTGGGCGNACACACACACACACACACACACACTGGGATATTTCCAAATGGATCGAAGATACTCAAATGGTGAAGAACCTAATTTACTGTTAATAGCTATGTGACACCTGAAAAAAATACAAAAAATCAACACTATTTCCAGGTCTGCAACCCTAAACCAGCACTAAACTTTGCTCCAGATAAGTAGAAATTGAAAGTACAGGGTAAAGCTATTCAGCTAAATCATGTAGCCACCACAGGGTATGAACAGCATGCAAATAAAGGCAGTTCAATGCTGCAGCATGTACATTTTAGAAAAAAAAAATCTGTTATATATTTGCTGAAACTGTCACCATGTTGTCACAGTATGCTGAGACCAGTTATCTTCCTCTCTGGTACAGCTGGGTTAAAATAAATGTGGTAGTAAATGAATAGCAGACAAACAAAGGCCATTCAATGCTGCTGTTCACCTGAAGCTTAATGGTTACATCTTACTGAATTTATTTTTTAACAAACTCATTTGTGGGCCTGATTGACATCAACATCCTCAGCAAGCATAATGTAGATGGTACTGATATGCCTAAGGTTATCATCTGTTGGCAGAAATGTAATATAATAATCTGAATTATGCTGTCAATAGTAGCCTAAGAATCTGAAAATAATCTTTTTTTTATATATTTTTACCTCAGAATTTGTCATTTAATGAGGGTGATCTCCTCCCTAATTCTGCTATGTCTCTATGTGGTCATCATGGTAAATCTGATAAATAGGCCAATACAGCATCCTAAAGTCTATGCAAGTGTACATTTCTACTATTATTGATTAACTGTTTTATAACTAACAAACTAAACATGAGTGACACTCTAAACTAGCGGTTTTCAACGTGGGCGGTACCGCCCCCCAGGGGGCGTTCAGAGGACGGCAGGGGGCGCTGGCGGACATTTTTACAAAAGTGGGGCGCTGGGATTCCTTTGGGGGGCGTTTGGTCGAAGGTAAACTTTACACCTTATATGCACAACAATACTGTCATGATCCGTGGTTTTCTGTTTATTTTGAGTTTTTCTGTGTTTGTTCAGTCCTGTGTTCCTGTGAGTCTCTGTCCTGTCCTCCCCGTTGATTGCTCCCCAGGTGTGTCTCATTCCCTTGATTACCCCGTGTGTATTTAAACCCTCCTGTTGTCTGTGTTCCTCGTCGGGTCCTTGTCATCGTTCGTCACTCGCCAGTAGAACTGTTAAGTCCTGGTTTGTATTTGTTCCGTCTAGTCCGTTTTGTCAGTTGCTACCGGTATTTAGCTGCGTGCTTGTTCCTGCCGTGCTGCCTGCCTTGGACTGTTTGTGTGCTTTGTTATCATTAAATCTCCATCATCACCATAACCTGGGTCTCAGCGTCTCTCCTCACCATCAACAACCCCACTTCATGACAAATACCAGTTTAGACTTTGAGCAACTTGGTAAAACTGTATTGTTTAACATTACACCATGCTTGGCTGCAACTGTATCAATGGCAGCTCTTCTTCTATTCAGTGTTTGTTAGCTTCTGTTAGCTTCTTGGCGCAGCTCCGCTCCTGCTACTGGTAGCTAAAATCACAATACCCTCACTGTGTATCCCTCTGAAAAATGAACCCATTTAAATAAAGAAATCCCTCCATAGTGATACCACGATAGAGAGCGTTCATTTTATAGTGTTAACACCGGAGCTGTAAGTGGTCCGGTATGAAACGGGGGTGATAGAACAACGGTACCACAGCACTTTTAAATTTCAATAATCAGAATGCAGAAATTGTTTCCGTTGTTTTAAAAGGTTTATGTCAGTCTGCCTTTTCCCCATCGATACGCTTCCCGAACCTTCGCACCATAGGGGGTTAAAAAAAACAACGACGCGCACATTGCTCAAAACTCTGAAACAGGAGAAGCGGGACATAAAACGAACTAGATGTGAATTATGGCATAAAAACAGAGAATCCGACGCTGAACAGTGAAAAAATCAACACATGATGTGAAACATGACGACTAGGCGGCGCAGCAGGTGATGAGTGAAGATTAATGATGGTCAATAAATGATAAATCTAACAACAGGAAAGAGACTAAAGTGGACATAGCAATAAACCGAGAGACTTTCATAGACAACTGTGAGTGAAAATAATTTCTATTCCCATGAGTTTTTTGTTCTCTGGGAAATGATTTTTGATGATAAATACAGAAACAAGGATAAGATAAGATCAAAACATCTACAATAGTGATAGTAATATTAATAATAAAATAATAGTCAGTGCAAAGTAGCCTACAAATTCTTTGGTGGGGGCGGTGAGGGACCTGGATAAAGGCTAGGGGGGCGCTGGGCCAAAAAAGGTTGAGAAACACTGATCTAAACTAAACCCTCCAAACACACACTAAAGAACCAGTTAAGGTTATAGCCCAAGTCTGTAACTTCTAATTACAGCTCATATTCGCCTCCCATAGACAGACAGTGTAGGCATATCATACATTTTCTGATTCCTTAGAGTCTGTTGAGTATTTTAGTTGTTAACTCTTGTGTTCCTGAGGTCCCTGGATACCGCTGGGATGAAAGAAATGTATCTAGTTTGGTCAAAAGGTGTGGAAAAATGTGTATTGTTTTTGGTTTAACAACCTCTAGTGATCTCTGTGTTGTTCAGATAGACTCAAAACCTGATTCAAATGAAAGCCAAGAGTGTCCCCTTTAAGATGACACCAAACATTATATTATAGACCTTTGACAAATGCTTATACCATGAGCCTACACCAGTCTCAAAAAACAGAATTTTTCCAAAGGGGTTGTTTGCTTCATGAGCTGATAACTATGACTCAGCTGCCATTTAGGAAGGGCTATCATACCAAAATATTACTAGAGACATGTATCTTTTCAAAAAATATTGATAGACTTTGCCATCCTGAAATGGACAAAGAAATGGTCTGGCCCATGGACTAATGGTGTCCTGGCATGACAACTACATCAAAGGTCTCATCTAAACATAGAGGCTTTTTCTCAATGAACACCTGAAAATATTTGAGTCTGCAGTTTACAGACAGAGGTCTTGTGTAAGCAAAGCCTCAAATAAAAATGTATTATATCAGTATTTTTATTGCATTTTCAGTATGACTTTTAAATCCATATTGATTTGTTTTTAATTTTCTTAACAGGAAGTAAGATTCTGTGCTTATGATGACCTGT